TTTTTCTCTTAATTTGCAAGATTTACATGAAGAGGGAAATTGTCGACAGCTGGAATTCTGGGCCTAAAAGAGCTACAACAGAGATAACTATTCCATGGAGCTTCAAATGACCTGAAACTTCATGAAGATTTTTTATTGAATATATAAAAGAAACTGGAACGAAGAACCACCAGAGGGGGCACCTGCTGCTTGCAAGGCAACAGGGCGCGCCCACCCCCTTGGGCACGCCCTGATGCCTTGTGAATCCCACAGCAGCCCTCCGGTACCGTCCTTCTGCTATATGAAGCTTTTTGCCCTAGAAAAAAAATAGAAGAAGACTTTCGGGACAAAGCGCCGCCCTCTCGAGGCGGAACTTGGGCAGGAGCACTTTTTGCTCTCCAGCGGAGCGATTTCGCCGGGCATACTTCCCTCTGGGAGGGGGAAATCAAAGCCATCGACATCACCAACGATCCTCCCATCGTAGAAGGACCAATCTTCAATGATCTTCACACCCCCGTGATAGCCCACCTCTTCTCCAACCTCCTCCTATGTGATGATCTGCAAACCCCCTGGCAGTTGTTGTCTTCTGCATCCTGCTCCTGCTCCTCGTCAAAATCCTCCTCCTGCCCGCTCCTCATTAGAATCCTCTTCCTCCTCATTAGAATTATCTTCCTCCTCCTCCTCGTCGTCAGCTTCATCTTCCTCCTCCTCCTCATCGTCAGAATCCTCCTCTTCCATTTCCTCGTCGATGATGTCGATAATACACAAATTCACCGGCCCTTCCGGCTCTGGATTCGGCGACAAGAGGTGGGAGAGATACTCGTACCAGTGAGCTTGCTGTTGAGGATCCGGCGACTCCATCGCCTCTACCATTGCCCAGAGGAGAATCTCCATTGTGATTGCCCCCTTGGCTTCAGGAACCATCTGCTCCAATTCATCCGGTGTCACTTCCAAGGTCAGGCCCAGCGAGTGCAATTCGAGAGAATCCACGCTCGGAAACCAGGAGCATATTTCGTTGCACTTGGCCAGCAACTGCTCGTCTCTGGCGCAAAACTCTTCCATCCAGGTAGAGCTAGCAATCAACCAAAGACGGAATTTGCAAATAAAAATTGTAAAAATGAAAGCGATTATAAGGATCAAAATTACCACAGAATCTAATATGGGCTCCTATATGAACGGATCCTAATTTCTAGGTTTTTCTTTTGTTCACACTAGCTGCCACTATCACGAGTCCAATCCTAAATAAATGTCAGTATTGTTTGGAAACTGGAGCAACTCAACGAACAACAGTTAAATCGCCCATTCAATCGACTAATACTAATTGCTAGGGTTTCAATTAGAAACGTACCTGTCATCCAACTATATCAGATGGTTCCTATGGGCTGCGATTTATCACCGTGCCGCCTCACCATCGGAGCTCAGGCGAACGGTCGCAGTGGGCAGTGGGGTTGCTAGGGCACGGCGGCGGCGGGACTGGAACGGGAACGCGCGGCGGTGGCTAGGTGGGGATGCGGCTGCTTGCTCGGCGTCGGAAAATCCTTTGGGCAATGGAGTGTTGTTTGGAAACTCAAACATTAGTTGCAGACATTATACACACATGCATGTTACAACATTTAGGGTGTGAAGTTAAAAAGATGTGGTATGGCACAAATGCAAAAGAGATTCATTTGATGGCTGACCTTTATTGAATATTATGTTTCAGGAAGCATGTGCTTATTCCCTTCTGCACTGTACTCCTTCCCCTTGGTTTTTATTGGCAAATGATGTTTGACTTCAAAACCAACCTGTGAACTAGTTTTGCTGCTTGCAGAGGGTTAATAGGCATGTTTGCTCCCTCCACGAAGCCAACCTTCATTGTAGATCCGGTCCTTTCTAAAATACTCTCTAAACCATGCCCCAAAGTAGGTCCGCCCTCACCTCGCCTCTTCTTCTCCTTCGAACAGTTTGTCCTTGCTACTGGATGTTGTTGTGAATAGATGTTCATGTCCAAGTTTTCTGCCTCAGGATCAACTGCTTCACGATTATCATCTGAATTGTCACATAGGGGAGTTGCTATCTCGAGAAGAGTATCTACTGGTATGACCTGCAAAGGTCGACACTTTGCTCATTTACACGCATAGCCGCACTTCCCGCGCACCTTACCAGCAAGCTACACTCCTTGTACTTAGCTCAAACACATCCAGTATACAAAGCAGGAGTAGGGTTTTACGCCTCACGGCGGCCCGAACCTGGGTAAACGCTTGTGTGGTCGGTTGATTCTGCTCTTTGTACGAGTGTATCCCCACAGTCGAATCGCAAAGGGGCCATTGCCGGTCCCATAGATCGTCGTACACACGACACTTTTGCTTCACAAAGTTTTAAGCATTGGACAAGCAAGCCAAAATCGGTCTGCCTGTAGAGATCCACGTACTAGTACGTACTTTGTAGTACAGCTAGCTGGCTACATGAAATGCATGCCAAATTTTGCGTCCTTGCCTACGATGGTATTTGGCAATACCAAGAGAGAGTTTAGAATGTGGTGTATTGCCAGAGCGAAACACTAGGGGTGATCATTCCGGGAGAATAGTACGTTTGCTTCTTTTTGGCTTCAGCCTTGTACATACTCTTTACTCCTTGCTCAATTAACGAAAAGGCCAAGCTTTTGCTGTATTTCATGAAAGTAAAAATAAAAACAGGCGGGCAGAGATCGGTCTGCCAGTAGTGATCCACGTACTAGTACGTACTTTGTAGTACAGCTAGCTGGCTATATCAAATGCGTATGGACCATTGACCTCGTAATAGCTAGGTATACGATTTGCACAACAAATCTGCAAGCTAGGCTGTTGACACTGGCGTACCAGCTACGACAGTTCTTTTGAGTTGTGGTAGCACCCCCACTGCTTAATTTCTGCACCATCCTTAATAAGTTTCTTGTGCCGTGCATGCATATATACTTACATGCCATGAAATCAACCTGCCCTTCTCACTTTGTATAATGGAGTAGTTAGTTTATTACCTCCATCTAGGCACAACAGTGAACTTATGATTCCTACCAATCTCCATTCATGGCTGAAGTACTTCTAAATGGCGGCACCGAGCATCAAACGGAGTACTTGGTCGATTGAGCATCTGATGATCAAAACATTTGGACGCATGATTCGCTGCATCTTTGCATGGAAAGAAGAACAGCTCAGTCGGAGCTGTGACCCTGGCCAAGGAGCAACAACTCATATTCATGGGCACTTATTAGTTATTAGTAGTCCGTACGTATCTTCTCTCTAGGCACTATATGGCCTTCAATTGCGATGATCGGGGTTGATTATGAGCTGGTCTTTTAGCTAGGAGGGGTTTCGAAATCGAGTGGTTGGTCGATTGATTGGTCGATCCGTTTAATTTGCCTGACAAGGATGGATATGTATGGCCATGCATGCATTGCCGCGGTTTACTACTCTACATGCACGACCATGCACACATGTACTCGATCTGCAAGCACGCAGTTGACACTAGCCCGGCGCTAGCTTTTGCACGGACCGCGATACCATCAGCTGAATGCCCACCATAACACCTCTGCCTGCCTGCGCGCGTCTGCCTAAAAGTGGCCAGCTAGCTTGATATCGACCAGCGTCTTCTCCACAGGTCACTGTTGGACAGGTCCTTTTCAGAAGGGAGGCCATCAAGCCTGCCTTAATTTATGTTGGGGTGCATGCACACTGTGCTGTGGCCAGTAATTTTCATAATCTTCTTGCTGCTGCGGCTGTTGCACTGTTTATTTCTCGACGGCATTAAGCCGGCGACTGTACGAGGGGATGGAGCGGCCGCAGCGTGCCTTGATTCTATGTCCAGAAGAGGCACGTACGCACAGTAGAGCGTAGCGAGTACAGTGGAAAGCTAGCGTACTAGACAGCTGGGCAGGCTGAGACGAAGAGGAAATGAGGGCACATTTAGTGGCTGGCTGTGTGAGGAATCAATTGGCCTTCCTTGCATTGCAGCAACAACGCATTGAAGCGACAAGGTTGGCATCAACTGTGTGGTTTGATGCATCGGCACCCTGACACGATCGATGCCCCTCTTTGTTATTGCACAACTGTCTCCAATTACTCGTGCATTCATTCTGGGTTTAAAAGCGAGTTAATCCGCAATAGTCTCCCCTTTGAATGACCCTAACCACCCAGTATCTTCCCATGCGTGCCTGCCTCTTCCCTTGCTTCTTTCTCTCTGGTGTGGTGTGGTCTGAAGTCTGAACCGTGCAACATGCAAACTTATTTTGCAGGAAAAGTTGTCTGAGCTTTATTAGTGCATGCATGGTCTCTAGAAAACAAGACTTTTCTCAACTTTGATTTGACTGCCCGAGTCTTCATTCATTCATGTTAATCTCATGATGATCTTTCCGTGTTCTGAGTACGTAGTAGTACTACCATTTGTCATGCAAAAACCATGCAGTATTCAGAAAAGGTTATTACGCATGCAGGCGTACGTACGTACGTATGTTCGATCGATGCGGCGTACGTAGGACATGTGCGCGAGTTAAACGAGAATGAATGAGCTGCCTAGCTGACATAGCTAGCCAGAGCTATAGCTCGACGTAGGGCGTTCGTCCGTATGAAATGAAATGCGTCACTGCAGCGTATTTATGCCCCGGCCGCGTCAAGCTTCACGGCTGTGCCTGGCGCCAAAGGACGGGGCGAGACAAGAGCATTACTGCCTTCTATAAAACCTCAGAGACAAAATCTTAATCCTTGCCAGTACTGCCCCGTACTACAAACGCACGCAGTCACGACTCACACAACAGATGAAATTATTACCTAGACCCGTTCCATGGGCACCCCGGCGTCCCACTAGCTAGTCCATGGAAGGGACGGGTCTACGGAATAATTCCTTTCTTCTTGACCCAACTCGCACGCACGCACACACCAACACCAACGAACACGCACGCACACGATTGAAGAGAAACGAAAGAGGACGGTAGTAGCTCGTCGATCGCAGCTAGGCGATCGACGACACGACGGCTAAGCATCTAGATCGAAGAAGCCCGGCCGGGCGGTTCAGCCGCGCTTTCCCTTGCCGACTTTGCCGGAGCCGAACCCTGGGTTGCGGTGGTCGGCGCCGACATCGTTGAAGTCGAGGAGCACAGTGCTGTGGCACTTGGGGCACTTGGGGTCCTCCCGCGACAGCATCACGTACATCATGCACCGGGGGCAGCCCGCGAGGATCATCGCCGAGCCACCACTGCCCCCGCCAGCCTCCGGGCTCCCCTCCGAAGACACGCACGAGCTCGGCGGGGATGCCGAGGAAGAAGACGACGAAGACATCCTCCTCGGCGAGTTGCTGCCTCCCGGCGGCGCAGCCGAAGGACCCCCTCCGCCTCCGCCGCCGCCGCCGCGTGACCGCGAGAAGCTCAGCCTCAGGTCCAGCTTCGGCCCCTTGCCATTGTTCCTGCTCATCTTCAAGCTAACTCCGCACAGCACCACTGCAGTGCACAATGCACACCAAATATAGCTCATGTCATGCACTCGCTCGATCTCAAACATAAAACAACATCAACAGAATACTCCACCATCAACCTAGCTATACTAATGATCTAGCGATGCAATTAAATAGCCGACGTTGCTGCGCGGTACATTACCTTTGGAGTACGTTGAAGCTACCCAGCTGTGACACGGAACGTGTACGCGAAACCAACCTAATGTGGGGTGGAGGTGGAGGTGGAGATAGGGTGGTTTGGAGGCGAGCGCTTGGAAGGGCACTTGCATGCACGTACTAGCTAGCGCTGCCGGGGTGAAGGACACGGACCAAGTGAGAGCCCCCTGCCCTGTGCCTGAGTATTTGAGGGGTGGTGGTGCAGCTCCCGTGGCGATATATAATGAGGGCGCCGGACAGCTAAGCTGCGTCGAGGTGGAGAGGTGATGGTGTTCTTTATTGCCTTGAACAGAAGCATTTAAATTCCCTCCCTGTCGCTTCCCTCCCGCCCCCCTCCGTCTCACGATGCTAGCTCCGTTTTGGTTTTGCAAGTAAAGGTCAGGCCCCTCTTCTCATTCCTGTAGTTGTGTGGTTGGCGATGTGTGTTAGGTTAAATCGTAGTCCTCGCTAAGAGGTCTGGGAAGGTCCGTAATTTCTGATCGAGCCACAGAGGAACTTTCACTTACAGAGGAACTTTCTGTTTCTGATCTATTGCGATGATAGTTGATGAACAGATCAGAAATTTTTCTGGATTATTATTTACAGATCGATTGGTCACATGGTGTGGACTAGAGAAAATTTGTGCAAGCTGCTAGAAGAGACTTTGGCAAGCCTTTCTTCGGTGAGCGGATTTTCATGGCTTGCTGGAATATTTGGACAGTCAGGAATGGAAGAGTCTTCACGAATGAGCGACCCAGATTTAGTAAGTGGTGAGGTGCCTTCATTCATGATATATATCCTTGCTGGTTCAAAGGATCAAGAGTAGATATAGAGATGAACTAATTAGACGGGTATCTTTCCTACCACCTTAAGTTGAGTGATGTAATCTAGCTTTTCATGTAATTTAGTCTCCATGTAAATATTGTATGTATCCTATTTTTAAATAATAAAAGTTAAAACTGTGGGGTGCTGCCCTACAGTAGCTGGTAAAAAACATTTATGTTTGAAATGATATAGTACTAGTTTTACATCATCTGTTGGAGCACTAGTTTGTCATCATCAATTATTCATCATCTGTTGGAGTTGGGTATTTTTTGGTGTATAAAAAGCACTTTTTAGTGATGTAAATTATACATGTAGCACTTTTAAATCTCCAAAATACATCATCTATTGGAGATGCTCTTATAGTTGCATTACATTGGTGTTGTCTGTACACTTCTGTCTTTCAGGCAACACAGGAAAAGAAAAAGATGCCACTATTCGTCCTACTCTAGTTCAAACAAGATATAGAGCAGCCATAGATGGTGCGCTATCTGATTCATAGATGCCTGCACATCATGATGACGAGAACATAGCACAAGTTCTGTAAAGGTAGCCATGGGCCTCCTTTTATAGATGAAGGGGTCACCATAATAACAAAATGGTTATTGCACATTGTAAACAGTGGCTACAGTGCCAAATACCTAACTCTGACGGGTTAGGACAAACACATTAAATACATCATGAGGTGTCGCGCTGGTGATGTTTGCCGACAAGGATAGCCTCTCCTTTTGTGCCGTTTGCCCGGCCTCCTCATATCATCTTGACACGCTCCCGAGACGGGTGTCATTAAAGTTGATATCTTCAGCGGTGAGCTGATACGTGACCAGACAAACCTCACCTAACTACCTGCCCGCTTGACACCTATTTGACAAGCGACGGCTGGTTGCTGAGGTGGAGCGTTGGCATAGTAGTGGGTGCTTGCCGGCACAGAGCTTGCCGGGTCTTCACTTGCCACCAAGTAGCTTGCCGGCAACCAAGGCCTTCATCTTCAGTACTGACTTAGTACTTCTCGACGACTTGCCTTGAGGTCTTCTTCATGGTTTTGTAAGCCAAGTCTTGACTCTTGTTTAGAGCTATCCTCCAGCAAGCCCCGCCGTCACGAAGGCTACTACTGCTTGTGCACAAGTCAGGGTACTACAGCACCCATATCTCAGTACACCGACAGGAGCCCCCAGGCTTGTGCCGCACACGCATATGAGGGCTCGTTGGGTTAGGCCCAAAAAGTGCACATGCATACGTGGCGAAGAACTACTGCAGTAATAATCTCTTTTACCACGCCCCCACGATGCGCATTAAATGCGGGACGTGGGAGAGGTGGACTAAAACGGTCGTCAGGGATAGTGCACCTGAAAAAGCGCAGCCATGTAGGATGGTAAGAACCGCGGATTAGTTTCAAGTGGAAGTCCATCCACTTGAAACTAATCCGCGGTTCTTTCACCCAATGATATAATAATATCATCATCATCATCATATCATTAACAACTTATCATCATAATACATCATTGTCATATAACACCTCCTCAAGATCATCGTTTTCATCATTGACATCACATAACACCTCCTCAAGATCATCATTATCAACTCTAACACATTACCACATAATAAACATATTGTACCTCATAGGACATATTACATTCGATTAAAACCTACTACATTTTCTAAGGTAAAATAGCAAAAAACAAGATAGCCCCTGACTCTCCATTATGGAGAATGGAGATTAGCCTGTCTCCAATTCGTTCCTTTCGCTGAATGTTACTTCCAAGAACCTCCTTGCGAATGTCCATACATTTCTTCCATTCTTTGATGAACATGTGTTCACGGGTTTTAGAAATCCGATATGCACAGGTGAGCTCCGTAGATTTACCTGGCAATATGTTCAGAACTGAGAGCCGACCATGCAGAGACATCAGATGAGGCACACAATGTTGGAAATATGCCCTAGAGGCAATAATAAAAGTATTATTATTATATTTCCTTGTTCATGATAATTGTCTTTTATTCATGCTATAACTGTATTATCCGGAAATCGTAATACACGTGTGAATACATAGACCACAATATGTCCCTAGTGAGCCTCTAGTTGACTAGCTCGTTGTGATCAACAGATAGTCATGGTTTCCTGGCTATGGACATTGGATGTCGTTGATAACGGGATCACATCATTAGGAGAATGATGTGATGGACAAGACCCAATCCTAAGACTAGCACAAAAGATCGTGTAGTTCATTTGCTAGAGCTTTGCCAATGTCAAGTATCTCTTCCTTTGACCATGAGATCGTGTAACTCCTGGATACCGTAGGAGTGCTTTGGGTGTATCAAACGTCACAACGTAACTGGGTGACTATAAAGGTGCACTACAGGTATCTCCGAAAGTATCTATTGTTTTATGCGGATCGAGACTGGGATTTGTCACTCCGTGTAAATGGAGAGGTATCTCTGGGCCCACTCGGTAGGACATCATCATATGTGCAATGTGACCAAGGAGTTGATCACGGGATGATGTGTTACGGAACGAGTAAAGAGACTTGCCGGTAACGAGATTGAACAAGGTATTGGATACCGACGATCGAATCTCGGGCAAGTAAAATACCGCTAGACAAAGGGAATTGTATACGGGATCGATTGAGTCCTTGACATCGTGGTTCATCCGATGAGATCATCGTGGAACATGTGGGAGCCAACATGGGTATCCAGATCCCGCTGTTGGTTATTGACCGGAGAACGTCTCGGTCATGTCTGCATGTCTCCCGAACCCGTAGGGTCTACACACTTAAGGTTCGATGACGCTAGGGTTATAAAGGAAGCTTGTATGTGGTTACCGAATGTTGTTCGGAGTCCCGGATGAGATCCCGGACGTCACGAGGAGTTCCGGAATGGTCCGGAGGTAAAGATTTATATATAGGAAGTCCTGTTTCGGCCATCGGGACAAGTTTCGGGGTCATCGGTATTGTACCGGGACCACCGGAAGGGTCCCGGGGGCCCACCGGGTGGGGCCACCTGCCCCGGGGGGCCACATGGGCTGTAGGGGGTGCGCCTTGGCCTACATGGGCCAAGGGGACCAGCCCCAAGAGGCCCATGCGCCTGGGGAAACCCTAAAGGAAGAGTCCCAGCAGGGGAAGGCACCTCCTAGGTGCCTTGGGGGGGGAGGACTCCTCCCCTGGCCGCCGCCCCCTTGGAGATTGGATCTCCTTGTTGGGGAACGTTGCAGAAAATTAAAATTTTTCCTACGGTTTCACCAAGATCCATCTATGAGTTCATCTAAGCAACGAGTCTAGGGAGAGAGTTTACATCTACATACCACTTGTAGAACGCGTGCGGAAGCTTGCAAGGTGATGATGTAGTCGTACTCGACGTGATCCAAATCACCGATGACCAGCGCCGAACGGACGGCACCTCCGCGTTCAACACACGTACGGGACGGGAGACGTCTCCTCCTTCTTGATCCAGCAAGGGGGAAGGAGAGGTTGATGAAGATCCAGCAGCACGACGGCGTGGTGGTGGATGCAGGGCGTCACAGCAGCAGGGCTTCGCCGAGACTACGAGGGAGAGACGTAATGGGGGGAGGTGGAGGCGCCAGGGGCTGGTGTGTGAAGTCCCTCCTCTCCCCCACTATATATAGGGGTGCCAGGGGGGCGCCGGCCCTAGTAGATGAGATCTACTAGGGGGGGCGGCGGCCTAGGGGAGGTTTCCCTCCCCCCCAAGGCACCTAGGGGTGCCTTCCACCACTAGGACTCCTCCTAGGGGGAAACCCTAGGCGCATGGGCCTATAGGGGCTGGTGCCCTTGGCCCATGATGGCCAAGGCGCACCCCCTACAGCCCATGTGGCCCCCCGGGACAGGTGGCCCCACCCGGTGGACCCCCGGGACCCTTCCGGTGGTCCCGGTACAATACCGATAACCCCGAAACTTGTCCCGATGCCCGAAATAGCACTTCCTATATATAATTCTTTACCTCCGGACCATTCCGGAACTCCTCGTGACGTCCGGGATCTCATTCGGGACTCCGAACAACATTCGGGTTTCTGCATATCCATATCTTCATAACCCTAGCGTCACCGAACCTTAAGTGTGTAGACCCTACGGGTTCGGGAGACATGCAGACATGACCGAGACGCTCTCAGTCAATAACCATCAGCGGGATCTGGATACCCATAATGGCTCCCACATGCTCCTCGATGTTGTCATCGGATGAACCACTATGTCGAGGATTCGATCAAACCCTGTATGCAATTCCCTTTGTCAATCGGTACGTTACTTGCCCGAGACTCGATCGTCGGTATCCCAATACCTTGTTCAGTCTCGTTACCGGCAAG